ATAACAATACCATACCATGTATATTAGACATAGTATAAAAATTTAATTAGTTATACTAATTAAATAATTAATAGTGGCTTGGTGACTTATTTTCTGCAAGTGCATATACACTTAAACTAGCACATATATGCAATTACACAAATCTGTAAATCCTGTGCCAAGAGCGTGTATACTCAAGATAAAGCAAATATGCTTTGAGAAGAGCATATACATTTAAATAAGAGCAAATGTGCTTGAAGTAGAGTGTATATAATTTAAAGAAATAAAATATAAATAAGTTCTTCAAATTTAATAAAGTTAGAATAAGTTCTATGTTTATTTTTTTGAAAAAGTAAATAGAGTAAATACTTATTTTTTGAAATTTAACTTTAAATTTAATAATCTATTTAAGACTTAATTCAACAGACTAAATAGACTAATAATATTAATTAGCTTGTTAAGACTTGAATTTCTTGTAAAATGGCCTTTTGCATATTGTCAAAACTTGATTATGTGACTTTTATCCAGAAGTTCTTTTATTTAAAAAAAAGTATTATTAGAGAATATAAAAGTTAAATTTCCACCTTTTTTAGTATTACCACTCTTAGCAATTTTAAATATTTGATTAAAAATCATGATAACTAATCATTAAAATATTGTTATTAAACAACTATAAACCTCCTTTAAATTATTAACTTAAAAATCTAGCTTCTTAATATTAATTTTAAACACTAATCATTCTTAAAACTAATTATCTTTAAAATCTTTTATATTCAATTTCATTTATATAAACCTCCATTCCTGTATATAGTTGGAGTTAAATTGATACTATTGTCTATAATTGTATCTTTACTTACTCATTTAAACATTATATTAATAAATATACAAAATTGTATAGAAAATAAATTTAATATACTGTATATAAAATTATAATAATAAGAGATGAAATAAACTATCTTAATTTTAGTTTTTTTTTTTTTTTTTGGTGTTAAGGTGATCTTTCTTGCCTGAAGACTTTTATTAAATACAACTTATGTTTATACAATTACAATGAGAGTATATTAAGCCACATATACACTTTTGGTGCCTAATTTAAGTAATTTGTCTAAAGGTTCTACACTATCTGCTATACTTGCATCCCAACTACAGGGTATCTATTTAAACTCTCTAGTTACAACTGCTATTTGTTATATCTAACTCTGGGTATTACTCACTATTTAGATATAGTTTTGCATTTACCTAATTGGATTTTACACCCACCTTAGGACTTACTAACTATTTTAACTAATCTATCTATAAGATAAACCTAATAGAATAGACTATGTCTTATGCATGTTTTCACTTGCATGTTCAGTAACTTCTTTCTAACTAGTATTTATTGTGCTCCTATACTGTATTTATATCTTATGCCATCTTTTTGGACACTGCTATTCCACAGCTACTTAAGTCACAACCTTCTTAATTAGTTACTTATTATATACTCCTTGCTTTTGTAAGGTTCACGCAACTTTAATACCTATATTCAGACTTTCTTTTTCTTTAAATTTTTTACTGATCTCTTTCTTACTTCTAGCAGCAACCCAGAAGAGTTAGTCTGCCCAGGCTTTAGATGCCTTATAGTCTCTCTTCTCTTAGTATATGCTTCCAGAGTTTATATTTTTTTTCTTTAGTTTAGGTAACTTAGCAGTTTAGCTAGTGTGTCTTTTTACTTAAAGACTTGGTTGCTTGGTTCTTTAGTCTTAGTTTCTGGTTTCAAATTCAGTCTTCCTGTAGCACTATCAAAGATCATACTACCTTCCAACTCAGGACTTGCCAAACAGGTTTTCAGTTATTCTAGTTCTTTAGATTTATAGTACCAAAGCTCCTATTCTAGATATAATAATTGAGATTACAAATTATAAATCTAACTAATTGATAATAGCTATTAACTATATTACAGAGCTATTTTTCAAAAAATGTTATTTGTAGAATTCAAACTCTAGATCTGCTATCTGGGGGTGTGACAACTCTACCACTTCACTAAGTCACCACATTCTTCTTAATTTTAGATATATAATAAGATATGAAGAATTTAACTTAGAAAATAATTATATAAAAAGAAAATATATATAATATAATAAATACAATACTTCTTAAGTTTTATACTTAAAATATTATCCAAATTACTTACTCAAAAATAATCAAGCAGCAATATAGAAGTTGATAATTGTATTGAAAACTTTTATTTTCAAACTTTAATATACAAAAATATAATAAAATAAATTTTGTTTGATAGACTTAGTAATATATAAATAATTTATAAAGAAGGATTTTATATAGTGTTAGACTAAAAATAAAGAAATACTAAGACAAATAAATCTAATATAATACTATCAAAACTCAACAAAACAACAAGCAAGATAATATATTAAAAGAGATATTTAGATTTAAATAGTAAAATAATTCTAAAACTTAGTTATTTTTCAAACAATATTATATATCTAGTTGGTATTGAAACAATAACTATTTTTTCAGAACCAATATACAAGAAAACCAAGTATTTATAATCTATAGAGATACAATACTTCAGAGATAATACAGCAATCACATAAGCAAAGTAATCATATAGATATAAATAATTTTACTATAAACTAGTAGAATATCAGAAAATAGGATATTAAAAAAACTAGTTGTAAATTTAACAACTAATAGATACTTTTAGTAGAACAAAAAGGCCCTTTATTTATAGACAAATTTATATATAGCAAAGTAAACAAATTAATTTACTAAAGCTAACTTATTTAACTAGTCAGATAATTATTAAAAATTACTTAAGTTAACTAAGTTACTTAATCTCATTAATATATTATTATTAAGAAATACAATAAGTACTATAATAGGCTAAAAGTTAATCTATAAAGTGGGCACAGTAAACTCATGACTATTATCAGAAAAAAGGCTAAATAACTAGTTTATTAGTTGAGGCTTATTAGCTGAATACAATCAACAAACTAATATGAAATTTGAAGAATATGAACATGTAAAGAAGAAAAAGCAAAGAACATGAAGCCAAAGATAAAACCAAGTTTTTGCAAATATGAAATATTGCAAGAGTAAAGCAAAACCTTTGCATTTTCTTGAATTATATTGTAATTAGCAATGTAAGCCCCTACACTAGTATGAGTTTTCCTTAAAAATTCATTAAGAAGTAATCAGTTATTTTTTCTAAGCCCTTGAGTTTATTAAGACAATTAAAACTACAAAAACTCTGAGAATTTGCATTAGTTGAGAGAATATTCTATGGGATTCCAATAATTCCTTCATAATATAATTAATAAATGAGACACTTGAAGAACAGTTAACCCAGTGATCGACGATCACGTGATAAGCATATAATGACATCATTTGTTTACCAGAATTAAAACAAACTGGCCTAATTTTAGAGACTTTAATTGGCAAAGTAAATCAGAACAACTTATATATATCATATGACTTATTCAAAAACATGAAGCCGGGATTATTTACAGTGATTTCCATAGCGGAAATGTTTTGCTATATCATGATGCGATTGTTATAATCTTGCTCATAAAAATTGTATTCTTACATTTCTGATCTAGGATTATCTTAAGAAAAATGAGCAAGATTCAAAAAATTATTATAGAGTTGAGCCTATGTCGCTCCCGAAATTTTGAAGCACAAGCTGCTGATATTTAGGGTTTGGTGCCATTATTTGTTGTGGTAGAAATATCAACTGGGAGATGGTCTCTTAATGGGACGCCACCAGAATTTACGCCAGAAACCTGATTGTTATGATGAAACAACCTATAGCCAAAAACATTAATTTAGAACTTTATCGATGGTATTGCATTATGATAAGCCTACAAAAGTTGCCAAAGAAAATAAGTTCTTATATTTTGATGAAGTAAATAAAAAATCGACAGCCAATTTATCAACACATACAAACCTTATAAATATTGGTAAAATCGCAAATAGACACGAAATACAAGGTGATATATAAATATTTATACCTGTTCTTTTATAACAAGCCTTAATAAATTGAGTTTAAATTGTTTGTAGCATAATATGGCAAACCGTTTGATTGGTCCATTCATGATGATGGTATCTTTTTGTATATAATTTTTTTATATGATATGTGATATTATTATACTAAGAATTTAATATGTGAAGATATTTAGCATGATCCTAAAAAAGGCTTGCAATTTACCCCATCGCTCAATTTATTATCTGAAAACTGGCACGTCTTTAAAAATATAGTATTATCAATTGGTTTAAATTTTCTTTTTCATTCGTTTATAAAGACTTTTTACGAAGAAACAATTTAATTTTAAATGTGCATTTGTTTATAAATAACATTGTTTATCAGATAACCTATTTTTTTTTTCTTTTTTATAGTAGAACTTAAAAAAATTTTTTGTTGTAAAAAATAAATTTAGGAGCAATAAGCAGTATTAAAAAGGTCATTTTAATGAAATTTCTACAAGTAAAATGTCAGATTATTTTAAAATTGAACTTAAAATTTTTTTCATGCGAAAAAAAAAGATTCCTAAGGAACTATTGTGACTTAAATAATGTAAGAATAATTTGACAAAGAATTGGTTTTATTTAAACATGATGTGATAAAAATTTGATGTCAAATAATAGAAATTTTTACCACAAATAGAATTAATGCGAATAAACTAAATAAAGATATAATGCGATGATAAAAGCTAACTTAATTAATACATCATGATATCAAGTTAAAAGAATGCATTAAGATATTAAAAAAATTACTAGCGAATAAAGTTAATAAGGAAAGAATTTTCTGACAGAGCAATTTTAAGACTACTCTGAAAATATATGATCAATTTTATATAAGCTACGTCCAATTCACAATGGCTAAATTACATAATTCAACTAATAATAATATATTCTATGAAATAAATTTTTAGGAACTCAAAACATCTGAAATAAAATTTTAGACTCTCAAGACATCTGAATAAGCTCAAATTTTAGGACAAAGCTAAGCCTACTAGCGATACCGACTAGTTCGCCGCATTTTGGTACCGACTTCCGTCATGATAATGCAATTCATTAAATATTCTGTTTTTCATGGCCTCAAATTCTCGTAATTCCTCTTCTCGTAGTCTTAATTCTTCAATTTTTTCTCTCAATTTTTCTTTTAATTGACGATATTTTCTTTTAGTAACGAAAAACATAATTTGTATAATTTTTTTTCAATATATTGTTCCAAGAAAGAATGTAGGATAAATGAATTTTAAAAAGAATGTAGAATAATTTAATAAGAATTCGTTTTGTAATAGCTTATTTGTTGTCTTTTAAAAAAGAGTGTATGAAAAATGAATAAAATATTTACTTCTATCAAATTGTTTCATAAGAATCATATTTGAGAATTTAAATTTTATTTATATCAATTCTCGGTGGTCGGAAGTTCAGTGGGCAAACTCCGAAGGATTATTCATATTAACATTAAAAGTTAAATAATTACTAATCGTCAATAACGCGTAATCCAAATTGTCCATTCAATGTGAAAATAAGACTAGGGTCAATAGTATATTGATATCGATATGTAAATTGTATTCCGAGCTTGAAGATCACTAGCCAATCTTAGATTAGTTGATCATCTAAGTAGGATTCAATACTCCGCGTACATACTTACGTACGTACATACATAAAAATGGTGTTTATAGGATGTTCTCTAGAATAGATGGGCGATATAAGAAATAAGCTTCGTTGATGATTAGTAAATTATTAATTTTTTAATATATTCACGTGATATCTGGCGGAGTTTAGTGGAGTTTGCCCACCAATTCTATAGAACATCAAAAAAATCTTGTGCATATGAATAATTGTTGCTGTGAAAGAAATTCGTACTATTGGCTATTATTTCGATAATCCAGTTTCTTTACCTGTAATTTTAGTTTCTGTTTTCAAAAAAGTTATTATGGTTTTTTAAAATCAACGATTCATGTAATTATTATCTGTCGTGGATCATAATAAAATGGAATGAGGGCTTCTATTTAACCCTCTAAAACCCACTTATTATAAACTTTAACCCAAACCCTAACCCTGACCCTAAAAAATGCGCCTCAAAAATTTTCATTTTTCGGTGGCTAGTCTATTTTTTACATTGTACAATATTTAATTTTAATCCGATTTTATATTAATCCGCCACAAAAAATAATGTAACCCGGAAAATTTCGACCTCTGGAAATTTTATTTTTAAGGGTGTTCTCAAGCATCTACCTCAATGGCTCAATAACGAATCTGATTGGTCTGTTTGATCAGACTAGCCAATCAGATTTTTTATTGAATTCATTGAGGTAGGTGCTTGAGAACGCCCTAAGTCGGCTGATCTCAATACGCCGCAGTATCTATTTTTAGATGGTGATTTATTTGGGTAGGATTATAAGAGCGATATGTCTTAAAAGTCTAAAGCTAGTATTGTAAGTATTACAAGTATTATAAGTCTTTTAAGTCTTAAAAGTAATTTAGATCTAAGTATTATATGTATTTTAAGACTTATAAGTCTTCCATCATATGTGAATGTCATAGATAGAATTTTCTAAAAATAAAGGGCCTTACGCCCCACTGCAATGGCAGATTCCAACCGTGGAATTCCCAAAGTACATTGTTTCTTCTATTTTTAATGATCCCTTTACTGATGATCTACTAAGTTCCATAGTAGAATCGCCATTGTTAACTTGACTATTGTGTTCACGTGATTACTGCATTACCCCTGAGTATTGTATCCTGCCTTATTGTAGATACTCGATTTCTTTGCGTGTTGGCTCCAGTGTTCAAATATTGTTATATCATAGACTGTCACTTGATATATATATTCAAAGGATTACCAAAGCCTTGGAACTTTTCAACTTACCAAATCTAAACATTTTTTTTATAGATTGTCTTGGTTTTGTTAGTTTGTTTGGCTGAATTTGTGTATTCTTGGCAAACCAGTTTTTTCATGTAACTATAGTTATTAGATATATAGTATCCAATAACAGTTTTATTTGAGAAGAAATGAGAATACCATAATCGAAGGATCCTAGGATAATTATTTTGGATAACAAATAAAAGAAGTATCTGGCTTTGAATTTAATGTGCTAATCTGGGCCCAAAGATACTTAGATTGTTAGGCACATAAATTCAAAGCTAAATACATTGCTATTTGGATGTAATACATTGAATAATATATTTTTTTTTATAACAAATAAACTTTATAAGCTTAATTAATTCTATTTAGTATACAGTACTTGCTATAAATAACTGATTCTTAGTAACTTTCCAGAATTAATTTGTAATATCTTAGGATTTTTAATATAGAAAGAGTGTTATAAATACAGTATTTATTATCTATATATTTTTGTAATAGATAAAATTTTTATATCAAGATATTATATATATATATATTTTTTTGTTATTAAGGTGAGGCCTTGCTTATATCTTTATTGAATAATTTATATAAGTAATTATATAGAAACTATATAAAACTTAATTTGTTTTTTTTTTTTTTTTTTTTTTTTAAGGTGATCTCCTGGCCAGGGACTTTTTATTAGATAATTAACAACATTTACAATTATGATGAGAGTACAACTAGCCACACGTACAACTTTTGGTCACACCATCTTAAATGGAAGCTTAGGCGCAATAAATCTAGGAAACCAGAATTACCAAAAACCCATTTGGCAAGTCCCGAGTAGGGAGGTAGTATGATCTTCAATGGTGCTACATGAAGACCAAATTTGAAATTGGAGACTGAGACCGGAGAACCAAGTGATCAGGTCCTTAAGTAGGGACACACTAGCCGAACTGCTAGGTCACCAACTAGAGGAAAAGGACATGTATTCTAGAAGCATGTATCAAGAGAAGAGAGACCGTAAAACATCTAAAGCCTGGGCAGACTGACCCTTCCAGATTGCCGGCTAGAAATAAAGGAGAGACCGTAAAGAATCCAAGGAAGAAAGAAAGTCTGAATGTGGGTACTAGGGTTGTGCAAACCCTGCAAGGGCAGGAGTACATAACTGAAGACTAATTAGAAAGGTTGTGGCTTGAGATACAGATCAGGTTACGGCAGTATCCTAAAGGATAGCTTGAGATATGAACCCGGTGACGGCAGCACAACAGGTACTAGTTAAGGAAGAAGTTACTGAACATGCAGGTAAATACATGTGTGAAACATGTACCGTGCTGTTAGGTTTATCTCAAGGATAAAGTAGTCCTAAATAGGGTGCAAAATCTATAGATATCGCAAAATCTACACGAATAGTGAGCTACACCTTGGTTAGGTAAGAGATGATGGGTTAGTTGTAATCAGAGAGTTTAAATAGGTAATCCCCTAGTTGGGTTGCAGGTATGGCAGCTAGTGTAGAACTTCGTGCAGACTACTTAAATAGGCAACCAAAAGTTGCAAGTATGGCTAGTCGTACTCTCACTTGTAAAAGTCAGAGAGCTTA